TCTGTAAACCGCTTAGAGAGGGCTGAAAGCCCTATGAAGCGGTATATAAGTCTAACTGCTATTGCTATTGCTATTAAACAGTGGTGTGGAACTAAGTAGATTGTCCTGATGAACTTGGAAAGAGAAACTTGGGTTCAGGTTTTTGGTTCCTTCCATGATGCCAGTTGGACAACCTTCTCGTGGAATGTTTATGCTGTAGCCTGTTTCTGCTTATGCTGGGTAGCATGAGTTGTTCCTTAAAGCTGCCTTCCTTATTGGTACCTTCCAGTTCGATGATGGCAAATCTACGGCACATGTGCCACAGGTGGCACGTGAAGCCCTCTCTGGGGGCACGCAAGCTGACACCCCAGTTTAGTTCCACTGTGCATGCATGCATGCCTCCTACCAGCCAGCTGATTTTTGGGTCTCTCCTGCACATGCAAAAGACACATTTGCATGCGCAAGGGGTGAGGAGTCATGTGCACATGTACAGGGGACGGGGAGCGCTGGGGGGGATGGGCCCCCATACCCTATTTTTTGTCCCAGGCGGCTTCAGGGAGACCTGCACCCCAAAATGGGGCACAGGGGGAGTGTGCGCGTGCCCAGGAGGGTAGGGGGAGTGCAGCAGGGTCAGGCATATGTGTGCAGGGGTGGGGCACACAGAAGTGGGGTGTCACACACCATTGCATATTGGGTGTGGGCCTATGCATGCATGCTGTTGTGCGTGCGTGCATGCTTTTGGCATGTGGCAACAAAAAGGTTCACCATCACTGTTCTAGTTTGAAGTTAGCCATCAAAACTCTCAGGATTCTGAAAGCTGCCTTGAACAAAGCAAACTAATGAAGTTTTTTTTCCCCCATTGATACATTTTATGTCACTCTTCTGATTCACCCTGTACTCTTTTTGATAAGCACACAAAACTTATGTAAACAGAAGTCTCTGTGATCTCGGGCCATTGTGTCTATTTAAGCACCATCCTCATAGCTTTGCCCAATTTCTACATTAATACAATGGTTTCCCCCACTTTTTATTTTGACTATTGAAACTAATGGCTCAGCCACCATTAATCTCTGCAGCAACTCCAATGTCTCTTACAGTTTTATTTTAAAGAAATTGCTTGATTGTTGTGAATGAAAAGCAGGGTTTCCTTTCGCTGTACCAGGTTGAGGAGTACTCACATCCCTCCCAGAGCCCTTAGGATAGATTCAAACTTCTTCCAAAAGCTGGGAAAGAGCCCTCCCTATCACGCGAAGGGTGCTGAGCTCCCTGGGAGGTGGCGTCCCTTCCCACCCACCCCTCCTCCGACGCAGCCACACTCACCTGCGTCTCGGTGAGCATGAGCGACGTAGCCACCTCGAAGCGCTTCGGCCGGGACAGGTACTTGTTGAGCTTGAACTGGTGCTCCAACTCCAGAAGCTGCTGGCTGGTGAACGCGGTGCGGGGACGTCGGCATTTGCCCAAAAGATTGGACTGCGCTTGAGCTGCGGGAAAAGAGTCGGAAAACGAAAAAGGGGAGGAAGTGAGTCACGGCAGGCGGTGAAGCGCGGCGCCGTTAGAGGGCGCTGCATTCCCGCTTCTGCGGCGTAAGAGAAATAACAGAAGAGCCCAGTTGGATGGGACAAGAAACCAGCTGGGAGAAAATCTATTCGAGTAGTTCTTTAAGGTTGCCCCCAATCCTAAGCAAATTCAAGAGGACGTATTCTCCTCTCTCTGACCGTCCCTTGGTCGTGTTTTGACTGCAACGTCCTCGGGGCAGCGGGTTCTCCTTTGAAGCCGCGCCAAACTCGGGGCACTAAAGTCACTGCACGTTCAACCAAGGCCAGGAGAGCTGTGAATTGGAACCTGACGAAGCTTCAGGATTCACATAGTGCAGTGGTCTCCAACCTTGGCAACTTTAAGACCTGTGGACTTCAACTTCCAGAGTTCCTCAGCCAGCTTTGCTGGCTGAGGAACTCTGGGAGTTGAAGTCCACAGGTCTTAAAGTTGTCAAGGTTGGAGACCACTGACATAGTGGGTTGCCTTGCCTGCCGATTGCCTATCCCGACGCTGTGCGACTTCCTCCTCTCCCTACTCCTGCTCGTAAGAGATCCGCCACCCATCCCTTGGCATTTAATTCGTGTCCAATTAAAAAAAAAACAACAACACTGGAGGTGTATGTAGGGGAGAAAGAGGCTTACTCAATCCGGTAAACTTTTCCTACTTGGAAAAGGACACGCCCCACACAGACAAATGGAGATCTCCGGTTATCTCCAAACCAGCCTTTCGCCAAGGAGAGCCAAGGGTTGGGACCTTCCAGTGCGGCCTCACTAGCAAAGGCTCAGCCCTATGCGCTCCCCGGTGAACGGTTTCCCCGCTGAAGGTGCGCGGGGCTGCCTTGTGCTTCAGCCCGAGGAGGCGAAGGCAGGCTTGGCTTAGAAAGGGAACTGGCGAAAATCTGGATCGCGGCTAGAAGAAAGGGAGAGCTTTCGTCTCTCTTCGCTGCCGTGAGACTTGATGTAGTGGTCACCCCAAAAAAAAAAAAATATTACACCCAAGAGAGATTATTACTGCAGGTCCTAATGGATCCCTAATAGGATTCAGGATGGATCAAAAATTCCAGCGGCTTCCTTTTCGCCTTAGACTCGAAAGAATTGGATTTTTTTTTCCTAAATAGGGATTTCGGAGATGCGGATCGAAGTTGGAAGCTGTAGAAGAGGAATCTGAGTCCTCGCATTGCCAGGGCGCCCCCAAAAGATATCAAATCAAATTGGGCGCCCTGAATCATGGAGCAATTCAAAAGCAACTCTAAATTCCTCTCCAACTTTCCGAACTCCTTTCCCTTTGGACAAAAACAAAAGGAAAAAGGAAAAAGAAAAGACTAAAGTGCTCTCCCCAGGAGGGGAAGCGGCCAACAAAATATAAGCGCCCCCTCCCCACGCAAGAGGGAAAATTAAACCAGCGGACTACCCAGATCCGCCTCTTTAGGCAGTTCTCTCCATCGGGGCCACTGCCCTGCCCTGCCCGGAACCCCCTTCCAACCTCGCTACCACCCCGATCCTCCCTTTGGAGAGTGAGTAAAGGCTGCAGGAGGCGCACCCGCCTCTCCGGAGCTTTGTTCTTTCTCGGCTTCCTCGCGAGCAGGAAATGTGGCTCTCTTCTTAGAGCGGGGCCTGAAGGTGCGTCCCTCCGCGAGCATCTCTGTCGTCCGAGGCGAAGTGACCCTAAGAGCTGGCGGGAAAATCGGAGCTAGTTTTCAATTAATTCCTAGGGGGTGGGGGGGAAAGAGTGGGGAAAGACCCGAGCCAAGCCTGCCAAGGAAAGGCTCAGCTAGCAAAAGGCAAGGCACGGTGGGGCAGATTCCGCTCGCCGCTCCCTGCTTTTTCCAGGGGAACTGAGAATTCCGCGGCGCTCAAGCGACCCTCGCCGCCTTGGGGGTCTTTTATTGCAAAGACCCCGAAAGGCGCTTTGAAATAAAAAAAAATGCCACTAAGTTGCCATAACCCTCCGGAGAGTCATTGGCATAATTGTGACGAGGGTCATTCTTGAAAATGGACGTTTGGCCCATGGGAACGAACCGTTAAGAGTCGAATCTCAGATTCGAATCTTAAAGTGGGATGGGTGCGAGCGTCTTTTTGCCCGACTTAAGGCCACCGATTTCGTTCAAAATAAATTTCAGCAATGGCTGAATTCAGGGCGAAACGAATTGGTCCTTTATTAACATCCTTGCCTCCTGCTAACCGGTTGAAGAGACCGGCTTTAAAAAAAAAAAAGTAAAATAGAGTTCTAAATCTAGATCTACTTAGAATATTTTTTTTTACGCTTATGGCATTTTAAACATTATTCTTCCAAGATTTCCATGGAAGTCTGGGCCAGTGGCTGGGAAATCTGTCTCCTGCTTTGATCCTCCTCCCCCCTCCCCCCCCGTCTTCCAAAAAGTCCCGTTTACAAAGACAGGGACAATCTGGGAGGAATTATCCTTACCTGCTGGGAATGTTTTCAGCACAATTAAAATATGTCAGGAAGGAGGCTCCTCGGGAAATCTGTAATTACTATTACTTTACAGAGATATCAAGAAAAGCAAAGGAGGCCTCACTCCGACTTAGCTATATATATACAGTGCAGTCTACAGAAAAATTAATTGTGAAATTAATACGTGTTATCTTGGATATATTATTTTTAAGGGGAGGGGGAAAGAATTCTGTAATTGACTGATTTAAACCTCGGCTTTCAACGTTTACTACAGAAATCCGGCTTTCCGAATCCAGCCCAATTGCAGTGCTCCGGCGTATCTCCGATTCCACGAACTGCTCACGGAAGAAAAATCGGTTGACCACCAGGGTAGTGGTTGAAAATGTCGAATAGGTACCAATCATCTCGGAAGTGCCTAGTCAAGAGATCAAAACCCCGATGCTAACTAAATCCTCTCCTCGACTCCTTTGCTCCCTAGGGGTGGGAGAAGGAAGGGGTCTAGCAAATGCCTCTTGGGTCATTACTATGCAAGCAGCTTTGGGGGAACAAATTAGCCTTCCGGCCTCGGTCAGGAGCCTTCACGAGTTCACTGACTGGTACTACCACCACAACCCCCCCCATTCCTGGCCGCCCCCTGTCCGTGCCCCCCCCCCAGCCTGGGGACTACATCTCCCATCACGCCGATGAAAGGGGTAGCCCAGCCCACGTGGAAGGCAAACAATTGAAGGTAGCTCGGGGAAGGGGGAGGCGAAGGGTGATTCACACACCACTATCCCCCCCCCACCTGCGAACGAGCCGGTAGAGAGCTCTGGCGCACGTGGGGGGCGACAGAAGAGAGACCAGCCCAGGCAGGGCGGTGGAATTTTAGACCGCATCCCCAGGCTGCTCGGTAGAGGAACTGATGCACGCGCACCCGCAAATATGTCCCTCCGGCCTACACACCCGACACGCGCGCGGCATCCAGCATCGCCAGCGCGGCTTAGCGCGCCCAAGGAGTGCCTTGGCATGAAGCGCCAGCGCTTGGGGTCTTTCCCCCCCAGATTCCGGGTAAAGGGGCTGTGATATACCCCAGGCCAGGAGGCTCCACCCTGCAGCTTTTCCCAGTTCGGGACCCCAAATCCGTTGGGAAGACTACAGTTCCCGGCAGTCTCAATCGCCCTCCCCCTACCTACCCACCCTCAGGAAACCCGCCAAGCCACCCAGCGCTGGCCCCACACCATACTCACAGTTAAAGTCGGGCATTTTGGGCAAGATCATCCCGGCGGTGGATGCCCGCAGCCACTGGTCCAGCTGGAAGGTGCCGGCGCCGAGCTTCAGGGAGTCGGCAGCCGGGTGCGAAGGCTGCACCTGGGAGTAGGAATAGGAGAGGGCTGTGTGCTGAGACGCCAGCGCGGCCGCCGCCGCCGGGTACCCGTACATGGGGTGCCCGTAAAGGGCCGCCTGGGGGTGCAGCCCCGCGCCGCCTTGAAGCCCAAGAGCGGCGTGGGGGTGGGCGTGCGGGTGCTGATGGGGACCACCCGCGGCCGCGCCACCCGTCAGGAAGCCGGGCTTGGGCACCAAGCCGCAGTGCGCGCTGAGGATATGGGGCGGCGATGGACTCTCCATTCTCAGGCACTCGGACGATGCGCTGGTGTGACCCTCGGCCGAGGAGGGCGGGCTGCAGCTGGAGCTGGAGCTGCTGCTGGTGTTACCGGGCCCTCCGGACAGAGAGGTGACCAAGGCCAGCGGAGAGGTCTGAGCCGTCGAGGTTGCCGCCGGCTTCGGAGAATCCACCGCCAGCAGCGCGTCGATACGGAAATTCTTGGACTTCTCCATCGGCTCCAGAATCACGCCGGGCGCTTTCCCAGCTCACAAGGTGCAGGTGACCATCCGACGCACGCCTAGATAGCCCAGAGGGCGAAGATCCGACGGTCGCTCCCGCAGCTTCTGGCGCTCCTTATGCAAACGGGGAGGCAGCTCCGCGTTTCCCAGCCGAAGAAACACCCCGCGGCTGGCCGGGATGCGCGACAGCCGCTCTCGATCGCCGCACGAGCTACTGAGACACCTCAGCTGCGCATTCAGAGGCCTTGAAGATTCAGGCGAGAATCCCATTGGTCTGCCGGGAGGGCGGACCCGATTGGTGGCCGGAGCTGGGCTCTGGAGCAGCCCATTGGCCGCGGCTCACACCTGTCAAAGCTGGCACCTTCTGGCCCTGCCCAAGCGAAACGGCTTCCTGCTCCCTTCCAAAGCTTGGTGGGGGGGGGGGCAGTTACTTTGGGGTGAAAAGGATTGGAGATTTTGTTGGACGGCAGGTTGGTGAGAAAAAGGAAAAGATCTAAATGAAGACTTCTATATTTAGCTAGCCCCCAACCACTTGTGGGTGAACAGAGAAAGTTCAGCTCAACTGTTATCTCAGTCCGGTGATAATAAAAGACTGTAAATTGTCAAGCGGGATCAGGGACAAAACTGCTGAGCCTTTTCTACATTTTTTGCACGTAATTTGGTGAAAGCATCTCGGATCATTGAAATTAACATTACCAGATGAGAACCTGATGAAAATATGAGTGCAATAAATTCAAAATGCAACGAAGGGTGGTTTTCTTTCTAGAGGCTGCCGCGCGCTCAGTTCAAAATTGCCCGTTTTATACTCCAAAACCTTATTTGCACCAAACGGAGCATGGTCGATCATAGTGGATCCTAACATCCCGGGAGTGCCTGAGGATTCAACAAAGCGAACTGGGCAAGGATCGGGGGAAAAGTTTGCGTGGGTCATTTTGCAAGCACGCCTGTCCTCCGTATTTCCTCCAAAGGCGAGGGTATTTGGTGGGGTGGGGTGGGGTGGTGTTAGCAAGATGAAATGGCGAATTTGTATTATGAACATATCAATGCTGGGCGAGGTGTTTGAGCTCCCTTTCCCCTGCTCTTGCTCTCCCCACCCCCCCACCCCCGCCTTCGAGGATCTCCACCAACTGAGCGGGGCAGAGGGAGTCCTTTGGGCTAACGCTGGTGGTCGTGCTTTCTGGCAAGTGGCCGGGACTTCGGCATACCCCTCTCCCCGCGCGCTGCATTTTGGGCGGGATGGCAGGGCGCCGAGCTTCGCCTGGTAGGTGCAGCGAAGGCCGAGGCAAGCATCCGAAGGGTAAAAAGAGGAAAAGGCGCGAAGGGGCTGCTACCCAACAAGGGCCGGGCTCGGTAGAGGAAGTGCTTGGCTCGCTTTGCTTCTCACCCGAGACATTACGAGTTAGACACGCTAACTCGGGAGAAAGAGCCACTCTTGTCAAGGAGGCTCCGCTTAAACTGCCACCTTCCCGGGATTTCTCTTTCTCCTCCTTTAAAACTGCCGCCCAGCCTGAGGCACTTCGGGCCTGGCCAGCTCTGTTTCCTGTGGAGAAAGCTCCCTTTGCAGCGCGCCCTGCTCTGTCTTTCAAACTTCGGGAGCCAAAGGGGCCGATCGATCGATCGCCCTGGCGATTTTCCTCCCGAGGAAAGCAGAGCCATCTGCAAAAGTTAGTTCTCCGCGAGAAACTGCAGCCAGTTGGCTCTCTTCCCCGGCCTTTGAGGCGCTGCTTTTCGCCCCGACTGATCAGGCCGCGAGATCACAGAAGCAGCTTTCACTTTTGAAAGCCCCGCGGTCGCCGCAGTTGGGGAGAAAAGCTCAGCCGCCGCCGCTGCCGCCGCTGCCGCCGGGAGTACGAGAGGCTGTCAAGTCGGACCCCGGTCAGACAGAAGGAAAGCGGCGTCTGCAGTGGTGTATTAACCATTGAGCAGACTAAGCACGTGTTTAGGGCACCAGGCCCAAGGGGGCACCACGAAGTTGAGAAAGAAAGGAAAAAAAAAACAATAAAGATTTGTACAGTATGTACAAAGGAGGGGGGAGGGCACCAAGAGTGGTCAGTGTTTAGGGCACCAGGGAGCCAGTAATCCGCCACTGGGCGCCTGGGCCTCTGTTGCTGCTGCCGCCGCCGCCGCCAAGCCGGGTAGCAAAAGTTTCTTCCCAGCTCGTCCCCCTTTGGCAGTTCCTGAGTACGTGTGTGGATGGGTGTGTGCGCGCGCGCGCCTGTGGGACCCGCAACAGCTGGGGCGCGCCAAAAAAAAAAAACGCTGGGCAGCTGATGAAAGAAGCGGCCTTGAAACCGCTCAAGGGAGTTGGGGGCGATGTCAAGGCCGTTTTGGACTGAGGTCCTTCCCACACAATCCTCCTTGCCCGAATCTCCGGGAACTCAAGCGCAGCTGAGTCGCGCGACAACATGCAATGTTTGCGCCCATTGCCTCATTCCAGACAATGCAGAGAGTACCGTGCGTGTGAGTCGCGGACACGAGTACAGAAAACGAGGGGATGAATGGCAGGAATCAGGCCGTGTTAAGCGGCCAAAGAAACTTGTGAAGCGGTCTTTGGCTACGCTTCGGAGGGTTGCCCGTTAGTTGCAGTCGGTGACACGGAGATAACTGCAGAACCCTTGTCCCATTCCCACGACCCACGACCGTTCCCTTCCCGATGACCCCCCGTTCGTACATCTGAGTTTTGACCATTCAGAGTCGGCCACTTTCAAGACGGGGCAGGAAGGCCTTTTCTCTTCTGGCTAAGACCCCACGCCCGCCCGGAGCAAGAGGAAGAGCAGGCAAGGGGACAGATCAATCTCTCAATGTGGCCGCTAAGAATGGACGACAATGTGGCGGCACATAAATCTGTAATTTTTCAGAGCTCAGCTTTGTCGCGAATCTCACATACTCCATTCCACCATTGTATTCTGTGCGTTTGAAAGAAGCTGAGCACACAGCACTATTAAACTCTGCGTGCCCTCGCCTTCCACCACGAATCCGACCCCCCCCCCCTTCAGTTGCATGGGCTATGAACTCCCACTGGCATTGATCCTCTGCTCAGGGTTTGTAAAAGCCACGCAGGGAGGTCACCAAACGTAGGATAATGGTGAGCCCATCCTTTTTTTTTTCAATTCATCCCCCCCCACCTCGAAAGTCTGACTTATATGTCCCTTGATTTTTGGCAGCATGCCATTTCAACGAGTTCCTGGTTGTGGATTGTGAGAAGAATAGTGCAACTCCAATCAACAATAAAGGACAACGGCCGACGACACCACTCAATAGGAAACCTACAACCTAAAAAAAAAAAACCAGTGTCCCCCCCCCTTTCATCAGTTAAGAAGATGGTAAAGAGGCGTTAGCTGGGCTTTGGAAACCCCAGTCTGGGAGGAGAATTCACTAGGGGAGTATTTCTCAACCTTATCAACTTTAAAGAGTTTGGACTTCCATTCCCATAATTTCCTAACCAGCTATGCACTCTGGGGAATTCTGGAAGCTGAAGTTCACATTCTTAAAGTTGATAAGGTCGAGAAATATTCCCTTAAGTTAATGCAGCCTATCTTATAGTGCTACTGTTTCTAAGATGATCAAAGGAGAGGGAATTCAGTATGAATTGCTCTGCTGAGCCCCTAGATGCAAAAACGATTTGAACTGATTGTAAAAAATATTACTAAGGAAACTACTGGGAGGAAAAGAGTTGAATATACTGATGCACATTAAGTCAAAAGTGCAACTGTATACAGTGAGAAGGAAAGGCCGCCCCTTTTCGTTGTTGTTGATGCTATCCGGAAACAATTCTTTTTCTTTTAAAATGATTTTTATTAAGCTTTTTTTTAACACATTAAAAAAAAAACACAATTTCCCACTCATTACAACGAGTCCATATCACTATCGTTGATAACATTCATATTTACATAAGCTCTATTTCTATATTCTCTAATATATTCTATATTGTATAATATATCATATAAATATATTAATATTTACAAATGTATACAGTATCAAATTTGTCGTAAATAATACTTAGTTCTGATACAGTATCCCATGCCTCTTCTTTTTCAATGGTTGACTTTTGCAGTTCTAAGCAAGAAATTCTCTGTACAATGTCCACACGTGGCAAGTGGGTGGAAATCATTTGGATGCTTAGGGTTGTACCATAAGGCCTGAGTCAGAGTCTGGTCCTTTCATGGGCAAGAAAGTCTTAGTGGCCCTGGCCTGTTCCTCTTCTGAAGAGTGTCCAGGGCTACCCTAGATTGCTTGAATGTTTCAGCGGCTGGAATATGCCACTGAGAGAATTGAAGTCACATCTTGACAAGGGTGAGGAAGTGGGCCTGGAACCGGAGACCCCACCCCAGCAAACTAGGGGATTCAAAAAAAAATGTTGGGAAGCTAAGAAAGCTAATGTGGATGTATACATAAAGTCAACATAGGTCCAGCTAGACCTGAAGGTTTTATCCTATACTTTAATTAATGCCATGTGTGGAAACAGCCTTTCCCTTCTGAGTTCCATTGTATCTATCTTTAAACCCACAGATTGATGGATATCCAAATAATTGTTAATTGATTGATTCCCAGGAATCCAGCAATTAATTGCTACTGTTAGCACAATTCAATCCTGCTCAGAAAAAAAAAAAAGAAAGAAGAAATGACTAGGAATAATAGAAAATAGTGGCATGGTACTTCTATATCCTCTCTTCATTGGCTGGAATCATACAATGGGCACAAACCTTGTATATTGAAAGGACAATGCTGTAAATGCTTTGATTCACATTGGTTCATATTCCAGACCCGAAACATAAACATTGTAATGTCGTAATTGAAATAAATATAGTATAAATTTAATAAATACATAACCCCAAATCCAAGGAACCATGTGGGGATCTACCCCATTTTATTAACCAGGGTTAAGAATACCACTTCAAGGGGTCCATTTCAGCCTCCAATGGAGTCCAGCTCCTGTCGAACCGCCAGATATGGGAAGCAGAAATCAGCTGGAGCACAAGGAGGCAGCAAACAGC